TGCAATGTGCAGATGAGACAACCTTGCTTGCTGTAGAAAAGCAGACTTAAAGCACTTGCTAATGAAGATCAAGGATTGCAGTCTTAAGTATGGATTCCAATTTAATGGAAAGAAGACAAATATCCTCTTAACTAGACCAACTGATCATGATAAATGGAGAAAAGATTGAAGTTGTCAAGGATTTTGTCTTGCTTGAATCCACAATCATTGCTCAAAGAAGCAGCAGTCAAGAGATCAAAGGAGCAACAAAGCCCACATGGAAGAAGCACACCAGCCTATGCAACCACGAGGTGTCGAAGGGATCAGGTATAAGGCATCATCAGAACAAAAAATCTTACCATAGTGAATGATGGGGGGAGTGCGGAGTGGAGATCTAAAGCCCATTAGTAGGCCACTGGAGATCCCCTTGCAGAGGGGTCTCGGGGAGGAGATGAGCCAGTCAGGGTGCGATGTAACAATGATGAGAAATACAACCTTCCTCTAGTTCCTAAAGGTTTCCTCCCTGCTCCCACTACCATGACTCGAATTCGATCTTGCAAGACTGGCTAGACCAGAGGAGGTAAACTGGTACAGATAGGAACTGAAAATACAGGGAATCCAGGACGGATGAGCCCTATAGGACCAGTGGTGTGAGTGGCAAAACAGGGAGGGTAAAGGGAGAATGGGTAGGAAAGAGGGAACCGATTACATGGAACTGTGTGTGACCTCCTCCCTGGGGGACAGACAACCGAAAAGTGGATGAAGGGAGAAGTCGGACAGGGCAAGATATGACAAAATACCCATTTATAAACTATCAAGGGCTCATGCGGGAGGGGGGAGTGGGGAGGGAGGGGGAAAATGAGGACCTAATGTCGGGGGTTTAAATGGAGAGAAAATGTTTTGAGAAACGATGTACAAATGCGCTTTACACAATTGATGTGTGTATGGATTGGGATAACAGTTGTATGAGCCCCTAATAAAATGTTAAAAAAAAAAAAAGAGATCAAAGGATGCACTGCACTGTGTAAATCTGCTGCCCAAGACCTCTTTAAAGGGTTGGAAAGCAAAGATGTTACTTTGAGGACTAAGTGCCTGACCCAAGCCAAGTTGCCTTCAGTTGCCTCATTTGCATGTGAAAGTTGGACATTGAATAAGGAAGAATGCATAAGAATCAATGCATTTGAATTATGGTGCTAGAGGAAACAATTATTTGTCTGCATGAAGTATGGCCTGAGAGCTCCTTAGAGGCAAGGAGGGTGAGACTTTGTCTCACATACTTTGGACACATTGTCAGGAGAGACTAGTCCTGGGTGAAGGACATCATGCTTGGTAAAATAGAGGGGCAGCTAAAAAGAGGCAGACCCTTGACAATATGGACTGATAACAATGGGTTCAAACGTAAGGACAGTTGTGAGGATGGCGCCACCGGGCGATGATTCACTCTGTGGTACATGGTCAGAACCAACACAACAGCACCTAACAAGAGCATCAGATGGAAAACATAATTTTTCTTTCCCTGATTAAGGACAAACTACCATCCCTGCCACAAATAAAGTTCCTTTGAAAAACAAACAAACTAACTAACATCATGATAAATGGGCAAAGATTGAAGTTATCAAGGATTTCATCTTGCTTGGATCCACAATCAATGTTCATATAAGCAGCAATCAAGATAACAATGTGTTGCATTGGGAAAATCTGATACATAAAATGTCTTTAAAATTTTGAAGAGTACAGATGTTGCTTTGAGGACTAAGGTATGCCTGGCCCAAGCCATGGTATTTTCAATCACCTGAAAAGTAGACATTGAATAAAGAAGGCCAAAGAAGAATAGATATATTTTGATTACGGTGTTGTCTAAGAATACTGAGATTCCATGGACTGCCAGAAGGAGAAACAAACCTTTCTTGGGAAAAGTACAACAAGAATGGTCCTTTGCATTGAGGATGGTGAATTTTTCGTCTCACATACTATGTACCTGGTATCAGGAGAGCACTGTCCCTGGAAAAAGGCATCGTGCTCAGTTAAATAGAAGGGCGGTGTGAAAGAGGAAGAACATTGATGGCATGGGCTGACACAGTGGCTCCAACAATGGGCTCCAGAAGAACTCAAATTGTGTGCCCTGGAGGTGACTGGAGGTCATCTAACACCACAATGACAATGATTATGTTCCAGGTAGCCTTAAAGGTGAATTGTAATAGCGTAGATAATAAACAACATTTACATATCCAAACTTGTGACATTTTAAAATACAGCTAGTTACAGTCAGCAGATTTCAGTAGTAGGCAGTACATTTTGTGATTCCATTATTTGTCATGATTTCACTTTTCCTGTTGACAGTTGATAGAAAAAGGAGTAATGGTGACCAATGGACACCTTAGAGAGAAGTATGGGTCCCACCACAATACATACAACTCATTCTTTTGTTGCACACGCATAGTTCATCAAATTGGGGAAAATTTTAAAAAATGTATTGACTGAGAATCAGAAGTCACCTCTTTAAACACAACGCCCTACTGTTACTCATTAACAATGCCCTGCTCAGCGGGAATTGCTCGGCTAGAGGCTTCTATCCCTGGTTTACAAAACTACGTCTGTATTTCATAGACCATAGAGGCCCTAGTTAAATAGAAAGAAGAGCTTTTCAAAAGTACCACAAAATAGAAGTTTTCAGCATGGCTTTGTGGTTGCCTATTAGACGGAAGGACTGAAGGTGAACACTCATCATAAAACAGTTATAAAAGAATCCCAAGCAGTTTTCAGTAATTTAACATCTTTCAAGGTGACTCTACTACAATGTGGATTATTACAATAGGCCAAACACTACCAGTTTCAATGTTTCTTTTTCCCCAAGAGACATCATGAATTTTAAGTACCTGAAAAGCTTTTGGGGAGAATTTATATTAGAAATTGAATAAACACATTATGATGCAGTGAAGTTGGGCAGAGGTGCTCACAATATCTTGGATAACTAAAAAATGATCTTGAACTTAAGGAAACTTGAGGGACACTTTGATCTATCACATTCTTTCTCCTCTTCAGTAGTAAAAGAGGAATTCTACGGGGCATAAAGAAAACAATGAAAAAGAGATTTATCATGGGAAACTATCTAGTAACCACTAAAATTTAACTTTCATGGCTGACTCTTAATCATGGCCTTTTCAGTGTCTAGGTAGAAGTGGGTACTTAGCACGCATTTGTTGAATGCATAAATAAATTATAGCTCATGACTAGAAGTCTAGAGTCTCCTTATAAAGGAATACGTTATATGCTGAAATCCTGTCAAAGCAATAAAAGCAGTTACTAGTTAAGAAGCAAGCACCTCAGTGCACTGCACAGGTGATATTAAGTTGAGACTAGGCAGGAACCAAACTATAAATGCCCTGTCTTTAAAAATATACTACCATAATTTGGGTTTGAATAGGAAGTTAAGACTCAGAGTATAGATAGGATATCTTATTGACATAGTAAGTTACACAGAAAGCAAAAGTGCACCATATTTACCAGTGCAGATTTGACGGTTAAATTCAGTTTGATTTGCAACGCTAACTGGAAGGGTTTGGACCAGTCTCGTTTGTATAACATGGATAACAATGCCTCCTTCCCAGATGGATCCTATGGTAGCATCTCTTTTGAAACTGTGGCTTAAAACCCAAGAGCTGCCAAGTCTCCTGTCCTTGCAGCCCAGAGTTTGAAGCTAGGTTTGAGAAATTAAGAAAATATTTCACATGAAAACAAATGTCACAGGGAACTGATGTGCATTGGACATCATTTAATGGTCATCAGTATTTCCTACAGAGATGAGAATTGTACTTTAATGTGTATGGGCATTTTTATTTATTCTTTGAAATTGCAATCATCATCAAAGTCAGAACTAGAACAGGGAGATGTGGGGTGGGTGGGGGGTAGACCTCTATTCTGATATTGTGCATGACAATCTACATTTACAGCACATATTCCCTGTACCTCAGATTGCATCAACAGTGGAAGGAATGAGCTTTCTAAAAGAAATTACACCACAGATAAGAGGGAATAAAAGGGACAATCCATCTTTGGGAAAAATGAAAATAATGAAAGGTTCAGGAAATCTTTACCTGAAATTCAGCAAAACCCATAAGGAATTTTAACAGTGTCCAGGAAAAAATAGTAGCAGAGTAAAAATAAAATGGTTTTCTCATAGGCATTGTTATAGAAAAACCCGACAGTAGACAATTTGGCCAGAAAAGGAAATGCAACGTTATAAATGAATCAGTTTAATGGTCCACTACTGCAGTGACAGCCCAGCAGATCATTCTTCCAAGCCACAGGGGAGGGATCATGATTAGAACTCAGGGGGAAAAATTGTGGCAAGAAAATTAATTAGACAAAAATAATTTTAGTAGTATGGACAATATTAACCTATGTTCAGGTTAAATTTGGTTATTTAACTAAAAATAATGAGGATATTTTATTCACCAGTATTTATTTCCAAGCATATTTGAATGTAGCAGTTGACTTAGCACTATGGCTAAACAGCAGAGACAATTGCAGCATACATTGAGATATATTGAAAAGAAATGTCTCATAATGTGGCAGTTTAAAGTTTTTTGACACATTTCATAGTAAAAAATAAGATACCATGAAAATTAAATGAGAAAAATAAATATTAAAAGCATTATGCTACCTACTCTCAATATTCTAGGAAGAATAATATGTGATTTTAATCTATTTTACCAAATTCTATACAAATTAAAGGTAAGGCATTACTTACAAAGTTGGGAAAAGGAATATGCATCATTGTACTAGGCAACAGGGAAGCCTCACATTACCCTATATCATCACATTCAATAGTATTCGTTATCAAAGAAAAACTTGATGGGATGAATTTGAAAGTTTCTTTTAAATATATTTAGTTCTTTCAACTACTTTTCTCTTGAGGACCTAGTAACTACAGGAGTTAGGTGACAATAATCTGCATCAAAGAGGCAGGCAGGGCTCCGGACCTGCTGCCGCTGTCTGCTTCCTTCGCCTCCCGCTCGCCCGCCCGACGTGCAGTCCGGTTCCTTCCTCTTCCAAAAGCACCATGGCAACTCTGAAGGACCAGCTGATTCAGAATCTCCTGAAGGAAGAACAGGCCCCCCAGAATAAGCTTACAGTCGTTGGGGTGGGTGCTGTGGGCATGGCCTGTGCCATCAGTATCTTGATGAAGGACTTGGCAGATGAACTTGCCCTTGTTGACGTCATGGAAGACAAATTGAAGGGTGAAATGATGGATCTCCAGCATGGCAGCCTTTTCCTTCGAACACCAAAAATCGTCTCTGGCAAAGACTATGATGTAACTGCAAATTCCAAGTTAGTAATTATCACTGCTGGAGCTCGTCAGCAGGAGGGAGAAAGTCGTCTTAATTTGGTCCAACGCAACGTGAACATCTTCAAATTCATCATTCCGAACGTTGTAAAGTACAGCCCAAACTGCAAGTTGCTCATTGTTTCTAATCCAGTGGACATCCTTACCTATGTGGCTTGGAAGATAAGTGGCTTCCCCAAGAATCGTGTTATCGGGAGTGGTTGCAGTCTGGACTCGGCACAGTTCCGTTACCTCATGGGGGAGAGGCTGGGAGTCCACCCATTAAGCTGTCATGGATGGGTCCTTGGGGAGCATGGAGACTCGAGTGTGCCAGTTTGGAGTGGAGTGAATGTTGCTGGTGTCTCCCTGAAAAATCTGCATCCTGCTTTAGGCACTGATGGAGATAAGGAACAGTGGAAAGAGGTCCACAAACAGGTGGTCGAAAGTGCTTATGAGGTGATCAAACTGAAAGGCTATACCTCCTGGGCCATTGGGCTGTCTGTGGCTGACTTGGCAGAGAGTATAATGAAGAATCTCAGGCGGGTACATCCCATTTCCACCATGATTAAGGGACTTTATGGCATAAACGAGGACGTCTTCCTCAGTGTCCCGTGCATCCTGGGACAGAATGGAATCTCAGACGGGGTGAAGGTGACCCTGACTCCTGAGGAAGAGGCCTGATTGAAGAAAAGTGCAGATACACTTTGGGGGATCCAAAAAGAGCTGCAGTTTTAAAGTCTTGTACCAACCACTTCACTGTCTGGGCTGCAAATGGATTTTAGTTGGGGGGTGTGCATGTTGCTCTTTTTATCTGCTCTATGACTAAAGCAGTAAAATGATGATCTAGGACAAACATTCGTTCCCTAAAGTCAGACCTGGGGATGGGCCATAAAGCCTGACAACTCTATCCTGAGGTGAATACTTATCATGTGTCATTCTGTATTGGTTAGCATACAATTGTTCTCCACCTCCGAGACCCCACTGCCAAGGTATTTACTGTGTGTGATAGAATTTCTGGTCCCTTCACTCAACATGCCAAGTCCAGCTTCTTTCCCCCAATCACATCTTGGGCTCCAGTGTGTAAAGTAAATTCAATATTGCATGTCTTGTGCATAACTGTCCTAAGGATTTTATTTTGTGTATGATATTTATCTGAATAGTGTGTATTTGCCATATAATGTAAAAAGACCTACATAAAAACAGTGCAACTATCTGTTCTACCAACTAAAACACCAAAGAAACCATGCACAGTGAAAATAAAAAAAAAAAAAAAAAGAGGCAGGCAGACATATTATTATTTGATGCCCTGGACAGGGTTCTAACGAATACCAGCCTTCTATGCAGCAGAAAGAAACTCCTCCGACCTTGTTGTAGTCACTGTGTTAAGCCATCTTTTTGAGAGTCTTCCTCTTTGTCCCTGGCCCGCTACCAAGTACGGTGTCCTTCCCTACAGGTGGCATCACCTTCCTATACACTTTCTGGCTGTGCTTCTTCCAAGACAGATTCGTTCATTCTCTGTCAGTTTATGGTATATCAGATATTTTCATAATATGTCTGTTTTTCCTCTTCATTTCTTGTTGCTGAACTTCTCATGCATATAAGACTACTGAAATCACGATGGTTTGAATCAGGCACACATTTGTCTTCAAAGTTACCTATATGTGATTCGACACTTTATTTTATTTATTTTTTATTTAAACATTTTATTAGGGGCTCATACAACTGACACTTTCAAGAGCTCTTTTGCAGCAAATTTGCCCAGTGTGATGGGTCCTTCAATTGCTTGACTGCTGTCCTCTCTCATGGGCATTATTTGTGAATCTACGTGAAAGGAAATCCTCAACCACTTCGAACTTTCTTTCTTTATAATGATGTTGTTTTCCTTCCAATTGTATTTTGTTTTGTTTATGTTGTGATATAATTTACATTGAAGGCTGCATTCTGTGATCCTCATTAGTAGTGCCTGGAGTCCTCTTCAATTTCAGAAAGCAAGACAGGGTCATTTACGGGTTGCTAATATGTCTGCTTCCCATCCTGACGTAGTGTTCCTCTTATATCTTATATCCTCAAGTGTATAAGATTCTAGAGTGGGGATGGGGGGTGGGTGGGGGAGAGGGATGGTGCAAACAAAAAAGATTCTAGTTGCACATATAGAGTGAACGTTGTTGTTGTTGTTGTTGTTGGGTCACCCATAGCGACCCTCTGCACAGCCGAGTGAAACACTGCAAGGTCCTGTGTCCTCCTCACCATGGTTCATATACCGGAGCCCGTTGTTGCAGCCATGGTGTCATTTCCGTGAGGGCCTTCCTCTTTTGCGCGAGCCCTTTGATTGCCTAGGCACAATGGCCTTCTCCAGGGACATGGCCCTCTCCAGACACATGTCCAGAGGATGTATGATGAAGTCTTGCTGTTTGGGCCTCTAAGGAGCACTCTAGCCGTCTTTCTTCTAAGACAGGCTTGTTGGAATATGTATTATGAAAGGATACAACCTGGTGAATACCTTTCCTGAATTTACAATACACAATGTCCCCTATTTTTGTTCCAAAGGCCGTCTTTTAGTCCATAGGTGGGTTTTACCTGATTACAACGAAGTGCTTGGGAATATGCATTATTCTCCAAGTTATCTGTAGGTTGTTATAATTCACACAGCCTTGGCAGTCAATGAAGCACAAGTAAAGAATTTTCTGGTGTGCTCTACTTTCAGTCTGACATAAAATCCAGCTGACATCAGCAATGATATCCTTCAGTACATGTCTTCTGAACCTCGCTTTAGTCTTGGAAACCTACCAGGGCAGTTCGACCGTGACCTAAAGAGTCGCTGTGAGTCAAAACTGACTTGAAAGCAGTGTGTTTGGCTCTAGATTTTAACCTAGCTTCAATTTCTAACTGTTCTTTGTCAATGTACTGCTGTTACTACCTTTGAACTCCCTTCAGCAACATTTTACTTAAAAGCAAAACGGTATTTCAAGTTTCTTTTTACCCTTCATCCAGCTGAAACTCCTTGCTTTGGAATTGGCACATACATGGGTCATTTCCACTAAATTGTCCAGGTAGGTGTCTTCCAAATTTCTTGGCATAAAGGGAGTTCTCCAATCATTGCATCTGTTTTTTGAGTGCTGTTTCATCAATATCTGTATACACGTTTTTCACGAATGCCTTCAATGCAGTTTCTTCCTTCAGTACCATCAGGTCTTGATCAAATGATTCCTCCTGAAATGGTAGTTTTATTCCTTCCATCTTCTTTCCAAGCTTCCTGTGTCCTTGAAAAATGTTTCCCCCCCCCCAAAAAATCTATAAGACTACTGAGGGTTGAATTTTTTTTCAGTTTTTTCTCAGCTTGAAAAATACAATATGTGTCATCCCTCTCTTTTGGTTTACTAACTCTAGGTCTTTGCACATTTCATTATAACACTTTAGCTTCTTTTCTCAAAAAGACAAATAAAATGGAAGCATTTCAAAATCTTCTGTTTAGCACCTTAATTTCATTATTTAGTTTGATTTAGCTATTCTAGCTTCAAGGGCAAGTTTCAGAATCTGTTGGCCTTACTCTGGCTGATGATATTAAAGAGACAAAAATATTGATAGGTTAAATATGTACCAAATATATTACAAAGAGGAATATATAAAATGTAAACCAACTGCCATTGAGTCAATTCTGATTCATAATGACTCTATATAGGGTTTGCAAGTCTGTAAATCTTTTTTAAAACTTTTATTGTCATAGGATTCACATCTCATACAACCCAAGGGTTCAATCATATTAAGAGGAGTTGTGCAATCACCTCACAATACATTTTATGAGGACATTTTCTTCCTTCCCGTGCTCATTTTGTTAGTACCCCACTAGCCCTCAACCCCTTCTGCCATGTCCCTAGGTAGTTATTAATCCAGTTACTACCTCGATAGCTTCATCTGTCCTGGATTTCATATACTGAAGAAATATACAAAACCAAATCAAGAAACAAGCAAACAACAAGAAAATAAAACCTAGTTACAATTACAAGAGGGAACAACCTTAGTTAAAAACTGGACCAATTTCAAAATGGGTCCAAAAGAATAGCAAATTAATAAGAGGGATGGCAGATCAAGTGACACATTGTTAACCTTTTAGCCTAACTGTGTCTCCCATAATCAACTTCACAATGCTCTCTAGCTGACAACACAGCTACTCACATCTCTGGACAAAGATCAGAGACATAATCCTTTTGGGGGAGTCTGTAAATGGATTTTGGGTATCCACAGTCATCCATAACATTTTGCAAATTAGGTGTTCAGAATTTAGGCTCTGATACTTTTGCCTCCTCTGGATTTGGATTTTATTATCTACAGTCCTTGGATCATACAGGTTAGTATGCATCTCCTATATATAGGTAGCTGACAACTCTCTCAGATGGTTGATGGCCTTGAAGCAAGCCTTAAACACCTCACATTCTATTCATTCTGATAGCTAGCCATTAAAACGTATTGCTACGCCACACTTTGCTACAACATACGTATCTTCAGCAATCTCCTTAGAAGGGTGAGTATAGAGTAGGAACATGTCAAAAGAATGAATGTGAGCCCAAGGTATACTTGTATATCAATGGCTATATGTGTCGGTTCATTTTAGAGACCGAAATATCATTTTATTAGAAAACAATATAAATCATCCCCATGATGTTGTTAGGTGCAATCGGACTGCTTTTACTTTAGTGACTTTACACACAACAGAACAAAACGCTGCCCTATTCTGCACCAGCCAGACTCAAAACCCTTCCTGGGCTTGAGCCCCCTGTTGTGGCTACTGTATCAATCCATCTCCTCAAGGACCTACCTCCTTTTCCTACTCCTCTACTTCACCAAACATGATGTCATTCTCCACGGACTGGTCTCTCTAGACAACATATCCAAACTATGTACGATGAATTCTCACCATCCTTGCCTGTATGAAGGACTTTGGTGCACTTCTTCTGAGACAGATCAGTTTTTTCTTTTAACAGTCCATGGTACTTCAATATTCTCCAGCACCACAATTCAAATGCATCGATTCTTCTTCCGTTTTCCTTATTTCATGGCAAATTCTCACGTGCATTTGAAGCAATAGAAAATATTATGGCTTGAGCTAGGCACATGTCTCAAAGTAACATGCAGGCTTTTCCACCTTCTAAACAGGTCCTGTCAGCAAATTTATCTATTGCATTAAGTCTTGTGATCTCTTGACTGCTGCTTCAATGAGCATTGATTGTGCATCCAAGCAAGACAAAATCCTTGACAACTGCAACGTTTTCCCAATTTACCATGATGTTATTACTGGTCCATGTGTGCGGGTCTTGGTGGTCTTTACAGTGAGTCATAATCCATACTGAAGGCTGAAATCCTTGACCTTCATCAGCAAGTGCTTCAAGTCTTCACTTTCAGCAAGCAAGGTTGTGACATCTGAATATCACAGGTTATTAATAAACCTTCCTCCAGTTCTGACGTTGTTTACCTCTCCATATAAGCTTCTCTGATCATTTGCTCAGCATACAGATTGAATATATATGGTGAAAGGATACAGCCCTGAGGCTCACTTTTCCTGATTTTAAACCATGTAGTATTCCCTTGTTCTGTTCACCTGACTGCCCCTTGATTTATGTACAAGTTCCTCATGAGGACAATCAAGTATTCTAAATTCCTATTCTTTGCAAAGCCATCCATAGTGTGTTATGATCCACATAGTCAAATGCCTTTGCATAGCCAATAAAACACAAGTAAACATCTTTCTGGAATTCTCTGCTTCCAGCCAAGATCCATCTGACACCAGCAATGATACACCTTGTTCCATGCCCTCTTAAGAATCATCCTGGAACTCTGACTGCCTGTCAAAATACAGCTGCAACAATTGTTGCATGATGTGCAGCAAGATTACACTTATATGCAAGATTCATG